ATATATATATATATATATATATATATATAAAAGATACATTTTCAATCAATAACTATCGATTATTGAAAATGTATCTTTTTAGATGATGTTGATACTTAATATAATATTGAAGTTGATCAAATGAACAATGCACATTCTAAAATATAATTGTGATTGTGTGTTCTTGTAAATAAATTATTTTGAATTAAACATGATGTAATATGCTTATAACCTGTAAATAATTTGTAAAGAGGATGAATGTAAATTAATTAATATAGAAGTGACCAATGTATGCTATTCTCTATGGATTTTATGTTGGTGAGAATAACATATATTTAAAATGATGTGATGTTTATGCATTTATGTAAGTTATGTATGATGTTGTTCACAATTTTGTTTGTTCACAAAGGGTAAGGCCGAATAAGGGGGTGAAAAATGCCCCCAAACGAAATCGGTAATCGCGGTATTCATATGATAAAGAATAAAAAAATTTTAGTTGATTCCCAGGAAATCAGCATCGTAAGGCAATCCGTTTCAGAAGTACAATGGAAAAACTATTATTCTTGTTCTATTTTTTCAACTTCTATTGCGTGTATCAGGTATAGTGGATTGATATATAATAGTTGAAATTGAAGATATTTTTGTCATTCAATTTTGACGCCTAGTTCAAAAACAAAATAAATAAATACATTTTTGAAATTAATTTTCCAGTGATAACGTTGAAGTAGTCTCTGTTTTCAGCCCTAGAATGTGTCTCATAACATTCTATAACAATTTTTTTTAGATTTTTAAACATGTGAACGAGTGTAAAAAATAATTAAAACCAATTTTATCAGTTCAAAAATTTGAAAACCGAGCCAAAATGAGATTAGAAAAAAAATATACCAATATTTAATCACATGATCAAACACGACATTTGAAATTGAAATTAGAGTTGTACCAAACTTGATTTTGTACCTAGCTCAATCGGAATATCACAAACAATGAAATTAAAATCGGAAACAAATATTTAAAACATCACTTGAGAGAGACATCAATTACACTTCTTGATCTTGACAGTCTCTGAGGAAACGTATTTACAAAACATGGTCTCCACCTAAATCAGGTAGGCAAGCAGAAACTTGGTGCCATGTTAACACAACAAGTGTTGCACTCTATTCCATCCACGCAACGGCACACCTCATCCCCACTATCTCCACCTACATCTACACTACTTTCTCCATCTTCACCTACCACCACCACTACCTCCATTTCATGATCCTATCTCAACGGCCACACCTGTCACTCTCACACCTGCCCCAACTTCCTCTCCTAGTACGTTGGCAACGTACAACTTACGTTGCAACCGCTTACCACCTCCCACCTATGACCCGTAGCAACTGCATTTATCAGGAAAGCACACAACACACAAAAACAAATACCTATGTGTATTACATTAAAACGTTCAGTCTTTAAGAAAAAGCTCACAAATTTAGAAATATTACTTGAACATTACCTACAACACTTAACAATATTATGCTTTACTGAACATTGGTTAACGCAACAACAACTAGATAGCACACACATTCTAGGTTTCACCCTAGCTAGTGGCTCATTTGGGGAAATAGGCAAATAACATCATACTTGGTACTTGCATCTTTGTTAAAAACAATATTCATTATGTGTCAATCACAGATTACTTCTCTCTCTTAAAAGATAAAGACCTTGAAATATATTTTATAGACTTCCCGAAATAAAGAGTATGGATTTTATGTAAACAAAGGTTTTCTTAAAAATCTTCAAATTGTTCTTGTTAAACTTAAAAGACGCAGAAACTATAAAATTGTATTATGCGGTGATTACTATATAAACTGTTCGTCGAAATCAAATGAAGGGAAACTATTCAAAAATTTACTTAAATCTTTCAACTTATAAATCTATTACAAGTCAACTTACCAGAATATCTAAAAAATCAGTACCGTCATTGAACAAATAATAATAGACACAAATAATTGCAGCTATTCAGTTGTTACATGTAACACAGGGTTTAGTGACCATACAGCGCAAATACTCAAACTCAAAATGGACATAAAAGTTATCAAGGAAATACAGTATCTTGAAGAAAGTAGTTAAACAAGCCAGTCTGTTAATGAATGATCAATGCATTGCCAAAGCGCAAAACAAAACAAAAGCAATGTGGAACATTGTGAAAAATATTCTAAAAACAGAAACACT